CACCTGTCTTCTTGGCCCTTTCACAGACGCAGTGAATCGTGCCTGCCTGTGAAGGGTGATGCAGGCACCATACCATGCGCTGGGCACCCAGGAAAACGAGGCCCAGTCCTCAGCGGTGTGTAGCTCAGCATGGAAGAGACATTCTTCCGTGGATAGCACCAGCCCACTGTGCTGAGGACCATCCTGGGAGCAGGAAGAAGAAAGGACCCAGAGTGTTCCCTGGGGAGTAGGGCAGGCGTCCCCTGGGAGACATGGAAAGATGGGCCTCAAGCATTAGTTGCTTTGCTTTGATGTGTCCGTTCTCTCTGCTTACACTTAAGGGGTTGCAAAACAAAATCCGCCAAACAACCCCTCTTTCTCTCGAACTCAATCAGCCTTTGATCCTTGGTAATTAAAGAATATAATGATATTCATCCCAGTATCCTCATAGGAGGGGCCTTACCCAGGGCATTTTAAGAAGGTTTAGGGTGGGTACTCAATATTATTGGTTTCCATGGATTCTTTCTGTATAACCTGGATCCTCAATCGGATGGAGCCTGGATCCTGGGTAGGGATCAGATGAATGGAAGGGTAAAGGGACAGAGCTCCATTAGTTTAAGAAAAACCATGTTCCACAGATTTTTATCTTCTGAACCTTGGTGTAACTCTCTGGAATTTGGTTGTTACAAAGTATTACTTTAATTTTTTTTTTTTCTGTGCAGATGCAGGAACAAGAGATGACCCATACACGCACAAAAATGAGTAGATGGTTCAGCAGTGATGTGTGTTTTCTATTTAGTCCTAAAGTACATCAGGGCCCTTAACAACAGATTTGCTACCGTAAATGTGACCAGTAGGGCTTGTTCTTATATTGCCTGGCTTTCTTCTTGGGAGTGAGATGCGGTTGTGGCAAAATAAGAATTTAATTAGAAAATCTCAGTCGTGTGGGATAGCATGAACATGTTAGGGTGGAATCATTGTAACCTAGCCTTCTAACTGAATCCTGGAGTTTGCTGTAGTGGAGGAACCCCTGATGTTTTGGGGGGGAATCAGAGTTCGGGATCACAGCTCTGCACTGGGTCACTTCCAAGTGGGTGTTCTTTGGCCTAACAGTGTTGCATGAAGTAAATAGTTTTTCACTTTTTCTGACTTTGAGTAAACATAACTAAAGTTGCACTCAATAAACTGCACTCAATAAAATCGATACTCAGAAATAATTCTACACTCCACTCTGTGATGAACATGGGGAGGAAGGAAAGGGGAGATGGAGAAATGAAATGAGAGGGAGAATGTCAGGGGAACAGGGAGGCCTGGAACTGCCCAGACAGACAGGCAGGCACGGAGAGCATGGGGCGGTGCTCGGGGAATTACATCCCAGGTGCTGTTCAGCGGGGCAGAGGCACGGAGTGTCCTGCGGACGAGAGCCACTACCGTCGGCTTTGCACTGCTCCAGAGCAGGCGGCTGCAGCGACCCTCCTCCTTCCTTCCAGAACTGAGCTGGACCATTCCTCTTAGGGAAAAAACCCTCCAGCCAAGGGCAGGAAACTGAGGCCAGACTGTCACAGTTTCACGTTTTATGAAGCATCCAGCACGCAATGAGCGCGAGCGTTCGACTGGACGAATGATCCCATTTGAAGTCAATGCTCTGTGCTCGGCTTCTGTCTTTTGATCTCTCGGGCACCTCTTCCTTCACGGGGATTGTGGGAAAGGGAGAGAGAACAGAAGGGAAATGTTGTGTAGGTTCAGAAGGGAAGGTGGCGTTGCCACACGTAAGCAGTACTGCTGCTGATCTTGAAATGATTCTGTGCCCCTCAGAATCCTAAAAATAGTTTTTTTAAAGGAAAACATGTCTTTCCAAAACCTTAAATGACCCCTCTACACTTGGCCTTCTTGAAACTTTGGAGGAGAGCATAAGCGTTGAAGAAGTGGAAGCTTTTACAAGGTTTTTTGTGTTTTTAAAGATAGCCTTTAAAAGAATCCTAAGGGAGACTGTTCTTCTCTCAGAAGTAGGAAAACATGCATCTTCCTCAGGGTCTCCATCCTTGAACCTGACTCTCTAGAAGACATATACTGGTCCCACCCCAGTCCAGGGAAAGTGGTGACGGGGGAGTTGAGATTGCTCCAATAACGCACGCAAGATTAAGACCCACTGGTCTCTAGGTTTTGTTTTGTTCTCCTCATTCTCTTGTATTTCCTGCGGCATTCCTAAAGTTTAGAGCAACATGTGACACATAAAAAGTACCCACAAATATTTACTGAATGAAAGGATGAATGAGTGATGTCCCAGGGGAGCAAGGAGAGCCATCCTCTTCTATAATGTTTTTTCTAGAATGAACTTAGCCACGGGTTGCTGGTTACCAGACAGAGCCCGGTTGAGGCCAGCATGCTGAGTTTCCCGTGGCTCCACTTCGGATCAACAGTGGACATGGATTCTCCCCCCAGAGGAGGGCAGTGAGTGACCTGGGACTGTCACCATTCAAAACACGGGTCTTCTGCAATGTGGCTTAATTATCACATGGTGAATGCCAAGTAAATTGTCACCTGGCAGGTCCATAGCCAGAATAAGGTATATTCACACCTTTTTTTCTCTTGATGATTCTGACCGGGGATGCAATGCATCTAGAATTCGGTCCATTCCTACAAATTCCGGGGGTGGAGACAGCTCTTCTCAGCAGGGATCAGGGGTTGGAGATTGATTATTAGTGAATGATTTACGTGTAGGATTTTATAAGTCGGCGGGGGGGTATGCAAGGTCATCCCTTTGGCATTCTGTCATTCTAGTCTTTTCTTGTCATGATCATTCCTGGCTCTGTCATATCACAGGGTGCTTCAGAACTGAGGTGTAGAGACTGCCTGCCTGCTTTTGAGCTCTGTACCTTCCACAAATGAGCTCAGAACACTGCTCGGCTTAGATAACCTGGGTGAGTAAAAAAGTGAAAGTGAAAGTTGCTTAGTCGTCTCCCAACTCTTTGCCGGCACCTCTGTCCATGGACTTCTCCAGGCCAGAATACTGGAGTGGGTAGCTGTTCCCCTCTCGAGGGGATCTTCCCAACCCAGGGATCAAACCTGGGATCCCTTACCACTGAGCCACCAGGGAAGCCTCACTCTGTCCATGTTCTAATACTGCATTCTCCAAATACTGGGTTTTTTTTTTCTATTTTTTTGGCCATGCCACATGGCATGTGGGATTGTAGTTCCCTAATAGAGGATCTAACCTGAACCTCCGACAGTGAAAGCTTGGAGTTTTAATCACTGGGCCACTAGGGAAGATCTACCAAATATCTCTGATGGACCAGTTATTGTTTTTTAAAATGGAGAAACTGAGGGACTGCAAGGTAAACCTGTGTCCACATCACCCGATAGTAATTGGCAGAACTGGGGGTACAGATGTGGACAGTGTCCCCTGAATGCACCTGTAAGCACTCTGATCTGTGATGCGGGCCCAGGTGGCTAGTATCTGTAGCCCCCAGTATGTGGTCTTGGTGATGCTGCTGCTGGTGATGAAGTGATGTTGATAAGGACAGTGCACTTAAGAATAGGTTACATCTGTGGACAACACTGGATACATTATTTGAGAGAAACAGGTTTGAGAACTACCTGTAAGGTTGGTAAGCCACTTTGAATGGCTGATTATATAAAGTATACGGTTTTAGGTTTTTATTTGAAAACTGGGCATGCCAGTGGTCATTTTCACAGATGCTTTAGATCCAGAGTTAGGACTGAGGCTTTGATGTGGAACTGAATGGTCACGAGAAATGAAATGAGAGCCAGGGGCCCTAGATTCCAGTCCATCCTCTACCCCTCGCTCAGGGGCTGACCTCGCTCCTGGAGAAAGGATGCCTCCCTTGGCTTTCCCTGCCCAACAAGACCAGCTGGTGTGTTCAGAGGGTCAGTTTCTACAACCCTGTGATCAGTTCCATCTTTTAGCCTAAGCCTAGGGATTTTTGCCCCACTAGTAAACCTGATAGAAACAATAAATAAAGCAGAGACATACTTACAGGAGAGTGAATAATGTACATGGAGATGACTAGAAATAGCAAAAACAACAACAACAAAAATTAAACCAGGAGGGAAAGTCCTTCTGTGAAGCCCTCTGAACTAACAACTACTTTTAAAACAGACAATAAATATTTGAGAAAAGCCGTTATCATGGGATTTTTCAATGCCATGAGAAGTCAGATGAAAAATATGGTTTAAAAGTGAGAAACTTACCTTCTTAACATTTTTATTAAAATATTTTAGTAAATGTTTTCATTAAAAAATACTCATGTACTTGGCTGCGGCTGGTCTTACTTGCAGCATGTGTGATCCTTAGTTTGCTGTGCGGGATCTGGTGCCCTGACCGGGTACTGAACCCAGGCCCTCTGTTTTGGAGCTCAGAGTCTTAGCCACTGGACTGCCAGGGAAGGCCCTAGCATTGTTAGATGTTCAGACTCTCTACACTTGCATGTGTATGGACTTTTATGGAGAGTGATTCCCTGCCACACTTCTCCAAGGTATGTGAGTTTTAAGTGCATGATTAATGGGAAACTAGTTGTCTAGTTGTTTGTGCCTTGCGATTTCAACGTGGGAAAAAGAGAAAAGCAAAAAGCCACATCTTTATGAACCACTCTGGTATTGCTTGAAAAAAGAAGAGATACATTGGTGGGTCTGGCACAAAAACCAAAGAAATTGATATGTCATGATATAAAATTGAGGGGTGCGGTCAAGGCTAAGAGATAGATGTTTTCTAGTTGTTTTAAACAGACTCTGGACTGTTCTGAACAGTCTGTTCTGAACAGACTCGTATTTTGGTAAGGTGAAAATTCCTTTCAGCCAAAAACTGTCAGCATTTGGGATAAAAGAGCATTTAATCTATTGGATTGAGGCTTACTTTGCCTCCCTTGTTTCTTTTACTCTTAATTCTATTACTAGGTCATTAAACTTACATTCTTTCTTTAAAAACTCAACTTCTACCCATGTGAATTTTCACCAAAGGAAGCTCTATATAAGGTTGAGTTTGGGGAAGGAAAACTCCAAACCTTTGATACTTTTTTCTTCCTTAATCGCCATGTGGCCCAGATTTGAAGATTGTGCATCTCTAGAAGTTGTCTTCATTGTTAGCAACATCTCATGATTCTTCCTTTTAATTCCTACTTCAAAACAAGTACAACTTGAAATGGAAGGGAAAAAAAAAAATTATTGTCCAATCTGGAGTCTGTGAATTTCTAGCAAAATCACTGACTAGGTTTATTGTTAATAGCTTCATTAAATATTCATTAAGCACCTGTTATTTCATAGGACTATTCTTAGTCCTTTGAGAATTTCTTTGTGGTGTGAATCCTTTGGTCTAGTTTTTTTCCTCTTTCAGAGTATTTCTCATGGAAGTTCTAAGAAGCAAGAAATGATGAAGAACTTATCTTTTAAAATAATGTTTCCAGTTGGAAACTCACATTCCGATTTCTGATAGTAATCCTATCTTTTTCCTTCAGACCTGCTGGCTCCCTGGCTTCTCTGCTTCTCTTGATTCCCAAGCCCCGTGTCCGCCTGGGTTAGTAGCATCTTTAGTCCCTTCTCCATGTTGCCATGTTACAGACTCACCACCCAGGATGTCTCTCTCCCAGATGCCCCCTTGTATAGATCTCCATGGTCACCAGTCACTTTTGCTGCCAGTTAGCAGCACCTGTCACACCCTCTCAACTGATCTCCGAGTCCTCTTCTCTGGTGGTCTCTAGCTGTCAAGGCTTCGTCTTCTAGAAATGTGTGCAATCGTTCAAAACATTCGGTGGTTACCTATCACCAACGAACACAGGACCTTTCTGCCCTGCTGGTTCCTTCGTAAACTGGCTTTAAACTGCTCTTCACTGTCTGATCTCCACCCTGAGACCTGTGCCCAGTGTCACTTCTTACCTTCCCACACAGGCTTTCGCTCTGAGCACCCAGCAGCCGTGCATAGCTGCAGGATTTGTGTGTGCATCTTATCCCCTGTTCTCAGTGAGGTCATCATCCTGTCTGCCTGGGAACCCCCGAAGCACACGGCTGGTCCTCTCCTGATCCTATCTCCCACCTCCTCTCGCCCTCCTGGCCTTGAGAACCGCTCACTCATCTTGCAATATCTCACACCCTGCTATGGCCCCTGCCGCTACGACTGGGTACATTTCCACAGACCAGCCTTCCTTTCTGGACCTAGCCATCTGCATATCAATCTACTTCCCAGTGCTTGCCCATTACCGGAGCCCAGGTTTTATAGTTCCATTACCTTTCCAAGGATGCTAAAATCGCTTACTACAAAAGCAAGCAGCTTCCAGGGAACAAAATGCAGATAATACGGGGTGTTCTGAGTCTGACTACTAAAGTTTTAATACACACGAAAAAGATAAAGAATTGGACAGTTGACAAACATAGGATACTTCCCAGGGAACAACCAGTATGGAGGGGCCCACATCACCAGTGGAATGATGACCTGGAAACACAAACAAAGGTTGATCAGTTTCATTTCTGTTGCTAGTAGATAATGCTATTCCTCCTTGGCAGTTTCTTAACGGAGCAGCCGAAACGAAGCTCTCAGACCATCAGCTTCCCCTTCCTGCGTTTTCTCTCTGCAGTCTTGATGAGGCGAGTATCAGATTTGCAGGACTGCCTGCCCGTAGTATTTCTGGCATCACAAAACCTCTTTCTTATGTCTCTCATATGCTATAGTTTACTGCATTTCATTTTATGCCTAAGGCTAGATTATTAAGGATTGAATTGGAATTTTCCATAGTAACTGCAATATAAACTCTGACCAGCTTTTTGCCATACTATTGTGATTTTTCAAGAAGTTTCTTCTTTACCCGAGCCATGGCCATAATAGCATAACTCAGGTGAAGGGTCAGTGTGTAGACGTGAACCTCTCTCTGCTCGTCTTTGGTGTCAATTCCTAACAGCAAGATAACACGGCAAAGAGAGCTTGTCTGTGAATGTACAGTACTTGGAATAATCAGTTCAGTACTCTACAGAAGCAATATCTGCAAATGATGAATTTGAAGACTGTTCTTCACAAATCCCTTAGAAACATAGCATTGGCTGAAAGGTTTATAATTTAGAAACAGAAGTCCTTGTCCCTATTATCTGCTTTTCTGTAGTCAAGTTCATTTTCTTTCTCTCTCAATTAGAGCTGAGAATATGCATCCAGTAGAAAGACACAGAGCTAGCAGGCTAGAATGTTTTTGTTTTTATTTACATCATTGGTTTGTTACTTGATAACATCTTTATCTAACTCAAAGTCCCTCAACTCATTCATTCATTGTGGTGTGAATGATGTCTATAGTATGTATGACTCAGACCCATACTGAATATTACAGTGGCTTATGGTAGAGGGGGTGTCTGAGAGAGTTTATATCAAGAATTGAATTTGGAATCCAGAAATGTCTCCCTAGGTATGTTTTTTGTAAACCTGACAGGTAAGATGCTTGGGTGGTTGGAGACACTTCAGGGCCCCTGAACCTGAAACAGACACATTATCATACATAGTCCAAAGGTTCAAACCTGTAATTTGTATGGCTTGCTGTTTAATACGAATTGACATCTAAGTAGTGTCTTTATATGAATCCCAGCAGGATCCCCACAATGTGGCACCATATCTCTGTGTTATGTCCTTAATATATAAGAAAAATATACTTTAAAAATACATTGATGAAAATGTGTAACGTCTTTATGACATTTATGTTATAGGTCAGCCCAAATATTAGATAAAGACTTATCCAAATGTTTGTATGCAAATTCCCTGGTAATAAAAGTGTTGTCATGTCATATCAATCATACTAAATTTTGCTTTAAAATATTGAAGTCATGTTATGAAATATTAAAATCAAATATGTGAGGAGACTAAAAAGAAACTGCTTCATAACTTATGTCAGCTCATTTTGGTGGTGGGGGAATGAAGGGCTTGGAGGAGGTTGTCAGGAATTGTTGAGGAAGGAACTGTCTACTATAACCATGCCAGTTTTGTCTGGGGCAGTCACCATCATGACCAAAGTCCCCAAATGACTGGTTTGCCTTAAATACGCACAACTGTTGTGGTTTCCTGAGCGTCTGATTGCGTAAGCAGCAGCCTTGCAGTGCCCCTACTCAGGCACCTGGTGGGCTGGTCCAGGGCTTCACAATTCGCAGTTCCAGACGACCCGATCCCTGCCTCCCTACACTGATGCTGGGCCACAGCACTGCCGCTTTGCAGTGTAGCTGTGATTTCTTTATTATTATTCCCCGAGAAGCAGCCTGTCCCCACACAAGTAATCTGCTTCTCATACAAGAGAGTTCAGTAGTTGTAGCTCTAAATGAGACAGCCATGGGTGAGAACAGACAAGAGAATACAAATGTGGAGCTAAGCGAACACATCTGTCCAACTGCTCTGCTGGGTCCAGCTCTACAGTCTGAGAATCATTTTTATTTTCTGACTGCTTATTTCATTGTGCAGGAATCTTCCTGGTACTCTGATGCCTTTCATACACAAGTCTTCGATTAATTAACTTATTTACTTACAAAGTTTTTCTTTTTTTTTTTCCCCCTCTACAGAGGGAGAAATAAAGAACAGAAAATCCCTACCCTGCATGTGGGGGAAACAACTATGGCAGAACAGAGAAGCCCCCAAAGTCAAGAGTAAAAGTGCCAACTTTTCAGCTGAGGCCTGACTAACCTGTGTGGCCAGCAGTGGCTGTGTCTCAGTAGGACAATGGGACTGATTTAAGTAAAAGCTAATGTCTTAATCACACTAATACACTCCAGTAAATCGAAAGGTAACCTCTGCTTTTCAAGGGCACCTATCTTTAAGGAGGGCTTTAAAGAAATTAAACGGGATCACCTTATCTTTAAGGAAATGATGAATTTAGTGAAGAAAAGCTCAAACTCTCTGTAGCTAACATAATTTATGCAAAATCATGCAATTAGTGATGGCTGTGCTAGACATTTTTTTTTCTGCAAATGCGCCTGTAAGAAAACCATCATGAGTAGCAGTGCCATCTAATGTAAGTAGTAAACATGGATAGTGAATTATTAATATCTGGTGAGGCATGCAAATGGCAGGACTTCCATTTTTCCTTTGAGCTAACAACACGTTCGCTAAAAGCAAAAAAAAAAAGCAAAGATAAATATGAACTTTTCTTTGAGGTGAGGCATGCAAATGGCAGGACTTCCATTTTTCCTTTGAGCTAACAACACGTTCGCTAAAAGCAAAAAAAAAAAAAAGCAAAGATAAATATGAACTTTTCTTTGAAAAGACACATTCAACAGGAATATGAATGTAATAAATAGCACAAAATGTGAATAGTAAAACCCCAGCACTTTCTGCCTCCGCAAAGTGAAATGATGGTTATACTTTCTGCTGGGTCTGTAGCATAAGCTTAATGAGGTTAAAGTGATTTCATACGTGTACTCCTCATTGAGAATGGCCCGGGTCAGGTGATGTGGGTGGCAGTCTTCAATCAAGTCCTCAGTCGGGTAACCTTGACATACCCCCTCTCTCTGGCAGATGGAAAGGGACCACCACCCCGACCCCACCCCCTTGTTAGTGCTTATTCAAGGAAAACCTCCTGGTGTGCTGGCTGAACCCTCCTCTGAGCTGTAGTCTTGTGAAAATACCTCCTGCGTTCCCAGGCAAGGCAGGGCTGGACCAAAGTTCCATCCCCATCTTGGCCAGTTCACCCTGGGATGCCTCCGCAGAATTTAAGCGCCTAAGCAGACAAGGTCAAATTAAAACTGCTTCACTGCTGATTCTGGTTCAGGGTCCAGCCGTCCTGCACAGACCCGCAGCGGGAGAGGGGTCAGGGCCCTTCTCTGTACATGAGCCGAACGCCCTGCTTCTAGCCCCAGTGTACTCCAGAGGCACCCCCACTCCAGGCATCCCCTTACTGCGAGGTCCATCCCCCTGTGGCATGCCTTGTGCTGAGGTCACAGGAACAGGCTCTTCATCCTGGCAGTGGAGATGCCAGCTGGGAACCCTGAGCATGAACCAGCAAGACGCAGACTCTCCTTCTTGACTTGGGGCTCCCGGCGCTGCCCCGGGCCGCGGGCCGGCCCGCGGGCTCCCTCCTCCCTCCTGCCCTGGCTCTCCAGCCGGCTGGCCCGCTCGCTAGGTCTGCAGCCTGGGTTGGTTTCTCATGCCCGTCCTGGGTCTGACTCGGGATGCTGCACCCCCGGAAGCCCCGCGGGCGCCGACCCTGGCCCGCAGCCCCTGGAAGGTGCCAACCCCGGGCGAGCCCGGGCGCCTCGGGAGGAGACGGGCACTTCACGTGGGCATCGTGCCTTCGCGGTGCTCACGCCTCTCCTCCGCAGCCAGTGCAGGGCCCCTCCGCCCGGACTCATCCCCCCAAAGTTAATCAGCCGTACTTGCCAGCTCGCTTTAGTTTGGGAAAGACTTCAAAACCTCGAGATCGGCGCGGGCCAGGGCCGCCCCCAGCACCCCCCGCCCCCCTCCACCACCTCCGGTTCTGCCTGGCGCGGGCTGTTGGGTGCTATAGGAGGCTGTGGCGTTTGTCTAGAACCGACATCGCAGACACACGGACCCGCTCCTCGCCGGCCGTCGCCAAAGTTGCCGGACGCCCCTCGGCCACCCGGCCCGGGCCAGAGGCAGTTGCGTAACCTCGCCCCTCGCCCCCGCCCGCCGCCCGGTCGGCTCCCGGCGGCCCCGGCCCCCGGCAGCCTGCCGAGTCCTCCGCGCAGCCCGGTCGGGGGCGCGGGGCGAGAACCCCGGGGTCGGCGCCCGTCCGGGCGGTGCTCTGGCCGCGGCCAAGCACAGCGGGCGCCGGGGCGCGGGAGCAGGGCGCGCGGGGCTCCGCTTACCTTCGGCGGCTTACAGATAAGTCGAGGTCGGTGCAGCGCCTGGCTGGGGCATGTCTCGCCGCGGACCCCGGCAAGCCTGGCGCGGCACGAAGCACTCCGGGCAGGGCATNCTGCCGAGGAGGAGGTGGAAGGAGCCGCCGGCGGCCGCCGCCTGCTCGCGGGGCTCCACCGCGGCGCGTCCTCGGGGTTTCTGGGCTGCAGGCGGCGCTGCGCGGCCCGGGAACTTGTTGAGCCTGCCCTGGAGCTGGAGCCGCCTC